ACTTGTGGAGGAGCGAGTTATATTGGCATTTGCTTTAGGAACTTGACTTTTCGTGCGCCTGGGGAACATCTATCAGTGTGGCTAAGTAAAGGTGTATTACATACCATCAACAGGTCGACATTAGACCACGTGGTCCAAACCAGCCACAAAGCCAGCATTAAAGAATCCTTCTCTATTATCTACCGGGTACAGAATATATTAGTTGGAGGACTTCATCGTGAGCTGACATCGGTTAGAGAACCACTGGAAAACTCAGGAGTACTGGACTGCTGCTTCGTCCTAGTTTGGGACTCTTCACAGCACTTACCCGCCGGGATTTGAACCTAGGACTTTCTGGTTACAAGGCGAGCTCGTGGACTTGGGTTCCTAGTGGGAAGCGGTGACCAGTAGGGTGCAGCAGGTTGAAGGTGAGGCAGTAACTCATCGACGAAGACATTGCGAAGTGGTCACGCTTTGTCATGAATTAGCAGAAGTTAGAATTCATGGGCCCTTGGATCTGGTCCAAGTGGCTCAATGGTTTACAATCTCACCTTGTAACGAGAAGGTCCTGGGTCCGATGCCCTGTGGTAGGTGCGTACTGATGAAGAGTCCTGATGAGCTAGGACGAAACAGCCGTCCAGTACACCCAGGTTTCCCAACGACTGTCTAACTAATGCCATCTCGTAATGAAATCCTTCGAACAATCAAACTAAATCCCTACAAAAATCAAGACTTGAAAATTATAAAATATATTGCCAAAAAGATCAAGGTACCACTTATTCCAAACAGCAAAAGCTATCGCAATTCGCGTGAAACATCCAACGCTTTGCGAGCAGAAGAAGCATGTCCAGCCAGCCACTACTACTGCCCTGGCCGGTCTTCAGTAGAGGCTATAAATTCATGAATTTGTAACATTATCTTTCCTAATTTTTCTGACATGCAGTGTATGGTATAATGATGCTATCGAACTGTAAATTATTGATATTATTATTATTTTTGATTCGATACTTGAACAACATTAATGTTGTAGATAACACTAATTCATTCACTATTATGGATAAATAACTGTAGAACCTGATGAAGAGCAGATTATCGAAAAGGACATTCTTTGTTCAGTAATCATTCTTTTCAAAAAATTTGATATCTCCATACAAAGAAATTATGTACACCTTATGTGAAAATTGTCATTCTCACAGATCTGCCGTGTTGCGTGCTACTTCTGCCCTTCGCGTATTGTGTTTATTTGTCTTGTTTTCGTGTCTCTCAGGTGTTGCCATAATACGGGTTGGCTCATTTGCTCTCTCTTTGATGACAAATCTATCTCTCCGCTATATGATATCTTTTGTGTAGCAATCAACGTCTCCTTTTATGCTACTGAGAAATCTTGTCAGTAGCACACGTCAAACAGATAATTATTTCCTCCCTTTCAATGTAATGTGAAGAGAACATTAAATGCAACGTTGTACTGTGGTGAGAGCTGTCTGCAAGCCAAAATTGTAGACAACAATCGACGTCAATGTTTACGTCCCGAATCGGGGTCATGAGAAAAAACAATAACAAAGCTTAACCTTGAGGAAATCACCAACTAATCACACCACACTTAACGTGTGTAAATATGATTCGCAGATATATGGCTTATTTTTCTGAGAAACCGCCACAAAGAGATGACAGAATAATCTTCAGCAAGAAAACGACCAATCAGAAGACGTTGCGACTCTGTTGACAATAATGCATATAAAAATCTATAAATATCTCATGATTTTCTCAATAAACGATCTGTTGCTTGGCCCTTGTCTTATATCGTTACAGTACTACAGTACTGGTAACTGCACACTGATTGAATAAAAGTGCTGTTTGGGATAAAGTCATTCCCATCATTAATAAAATGCTAGAACAGAAAAAATGAATTATTATTCTAGAGAATTCATAAGCAACAATGTTAAGAAAATCTCGTGAGAAAAGATATATGGTAATACCATACAACTGCCTTGGTGGATCCATCGCAGAATGCTCGCTAGCTATGCGGAAGGTCAGGGTTCGATACCCAGCCGACACACACCTAAAACCCCTCCTAGACAATAATAAGATCTGTATGGAGGGGAGGTGTGGCGTGAGGCTAGGAACCTCACAACACAATAACAACATCCTCAGCTACTGAAACTTTGAAGCTTGACTTCATATGTTTCACTCAGAACGCCAAGGAATGGAATAAAGGAAGACTGAGAAAGGTATTCACCAAAAAACTGCAGAGTGCTTATACAGGTTTAACACACTGTACCTTCAATGATTGTATAAACCGTTTTGCATTCGGGATTTAAACAAGAATCACCTGGTTTCAGATCGGTCTAAGTCTTTCACCTCTTCCAGGTGTATAATTGTATTTCACTGATCTACACAGTCGACTTCCACTGAGGTTTGAACAGCCAAGTAATATCATTAATCTGCACACGCAACATGGGTGGTTCGTATTTAGTCGTATATAAATGGAAGTGGCTGATTATCGAGCAACTTTATCACCTGCTTCCTTTTTAAATGATTTACGATTTATATTCATTGATGAAAATAATGAATCCCAATCACTTAGCAAATGAATGTGTTGTTTGCAAGAAACTGTATACTGCCGATGAACTGAGATGAGCAGTTCGCATCACTCATAATGTGGTGGTGAGATTCAGACAATGTATTCCAACGAAATATTATTCTTACATATGCCCACAGTTCAATACTGCGTTAGCCACAGAATACTATATATCTATTTGAACATTCCTTTTCATGTCGTTTAATGTAAACCAAAACCACATGCTCAATGATTGGTCAGAGAATATAAAACCATATATATATATATATATATATATATATATATATATATATATGGCGGTTTCGTCACTTGAAAATATACCTTGGCTTCCGTGTCTTGCCTTCTGTCGTTACGATATCATCCAGAAATGCTCGTTGGCCAGCCATATCGAAGTGATCTGAATACCATTAAACTGGCTTTTTCGCTCGTTTTGCGGCTGAGCTTATCAATGGTGTACCCGGTTTGACAACTCAGCTCAGAGGGATAGCCGAACCAGTTCAAACCACGCGATTTGTCTCTGGCTAGTTAGCTATTCAAAGTTTAAGTAGCTTAAAAATCCCCAATAAGTCATATGAAAAAACAGATGTTCAGCGAAGAAATTCTTTTCGCCAGCGAATTCATTCACATAGCTGTACAATCGCATCAATTTATATGATTATTTATGTGTGTGTACATGAGATTTGTCAAGTTTAGATAATTAATCAGGTAATACAAGAATGATCTAATATAGAAACAAGGTTAGTTAGACAGCAACTAAAGTAAGATTGAGTTAGTAAGTTAGATGACGTAATATAATTCACTAAAATGTTTCAACTCAGGTCAGGATAGAACCAGAGGTAATTACGAGTAGAGACTAAGTGGAGGTGGAGTAGAGAATGATGCCATTTAAATTAGGACTACAACTGAGCAAACGCATTGGATGACGTAACATAAGTGACTAAAAATTGAGCGTTGGTCAAGTCAGTAGCAGTGTTAATAAGGTGTACAAAATAAATCGCGTAGGTGTTTGCAATCTACACACTTTGAGGAGATGAAATTTTACCCCAGTTTCCTTTATTTGGAAACCGAACATGCGAAACTGTCGTGCAGTATTTAGATTGCTTTGATCTGGCTAGCAAACACTATTGATCGATGTGACTGGTGTCCATCTACTCATTTCAGTCGGCTAGTAGTATAAAGGATCATATGTGAAGTAGGGTCCATAGATTTCTCTACTTTAATAATAATAATAATAATAATAATAATAATTTACTTTATTCCAGAAACAGTACTTGTGATACAGAATGGAATTTTCAGCATTAATCACAATATTGCATCTAATTTCCTCAAATTATAAATAAAATTAATCACAGAAAATTTTTCACATTTACAATAGAGGTAGTGTCAAAAACATGCAGCATATAAAATGGAAATAGCAATAATAATGATAACAGCTAGGGTAATAATAATAAGAATACAAGTGAAAATTGCCGTTGGCTTGTGCCACACAGTATTGTCAATGTGGTATGGAAATCCTAACATGTTTAAAAATATTGAATATAATGTTCTCTTTACATAATGGTGATGGTGAGGGGAAAAACAAAGATTACAGCCGTCATGGAGATAAGTTGGTGTTTGCAATTATGAGAGTAAAACAGAGAAGTGACAGGAAAATATTTGACAGGTTAGGAAACGTAGTGTGGCATAGAGTGACTGACTGGTTTCAGTGTAGAACTTTGCACAGATTTCCAGCAGCTCGAGTTGCCACACTCCTTTCATGTTAAACACAAAGCAAGAGAAGAGAGTAAACAGAGATTCAAATAACAGACATCATAAACAGAAGTGTGAGTGAAGCAGAAAGAATAGTAATGTGGAAGAACAGTAGAACTTTATTGGATATCATAAATCACAAAGAGTGGGTGCATCTGAGCGCAATTTTCAGCCATATCACCAATTGTCTCCAGTCACTGGTGTTTACTCTCCCGAGGATCCCGACCAGTCAGGAATTCTACACCTCCCTGAGTGTCTGGGTGGCTCAAACTAACTGTTAAGCACTTTACAGACTGATTCGAAGTTTAAATTTAACCGCCACTTGTTCTTTTCCCACCTAATCCTATATCAGCTAATATTGCCCATCAAGGAAGGTTATCGATGGCTAATGATGCATGCGTAACACATGTCCTAACCATCGCCCCAATCGATGTAACTTTACAACCTCATCAATTGATTTTCCCTCCTTACCTAGCACTCGACCGACACCTAACCCCAATAACACTCACCTTATTATTACCACTTAACACAGGAGATAGAACGCAGACACCTAAGATCAAAGATAGCTAGCTAGCTAGACTTTTCATTCTCTTCCACTTTCAATGGTCATGTTGTTATTAAATGCCTGATAAATTGTTCAACCACTTACCAATGTAATTTTTTTTATTTTCTTAATATTTTACATTGAAAATAGGTTCAACCATTCCCTAAAGTTGAAGAATTAGAATCAAAGTTGAGCATTTATCGTGAATGGAAGCTTTATCGAAATCGTCTACTGGAAGAGAGTTTTCGTCAACTACATAGTGTGTAAATCTTCCTCAACTGTGGAGTCATCTTTCTCTTACACAAGATATATTCAAATATATGTTTACAGAATAATAAGAAAATGAAGAAATGTTCTTGAGGTGTTCATCAGCTCTGAATATTCACATTTCCTTATTACTTATGTGTATAATTGAACAGGCGCATGCTATACATGAATGGAAACAATCAACAAAACCTTCGTCATAGAAATGTTCTTCCCTTCTGATTGATTTTATCCCACTTTGACTTCATAATAGTAACAATAATTTTCAAGATTTCGTTAGTTAGGTATTTATATACGTGTGAAACTTGGGCACTGCGGTAGTAAGTAATTCCATATTAGTTTGTTTATTAGATGTATCACACAGTGAGTGAAACAGTATTATTTACTGGATGACGAGGTTTCGAACAAAATTTATTTATTGTTCATCATCATATCAATTATAATCACACGACTTCGAGACTTGAGTTTTATAGTTTTCTTTGTTCTCCCCTGTTTGTCATCGTTCGGGTATTAGAATTCGTGATCTTAGCGTGACCACCAGAGCTTGCCTTGTTAATGGAAGCTCCTGGGTCAGAAACCTGGTGATGGGTACGTGCTGCCGATGAGTTCCAAACTAGGGCGAAACTGATATTAATCCTTGATCAAACTTGAAATCATAATAATAATGATAATCTGTTTATTCACAAATTAGATCTTTGTAGATTTGATCACAGAGCTGACGTCAGTTGAAGAACTACTGGAAAATCACACTGAAATACTGGACAGCTTTTCTTTGCTTGTTTACGACTCCTCTACATCATGCATTCAACACGGTTATGAACCGAATCTAGGATGAAACAGCCGTCCATTACCTCCATGTGGGTTTCTCTAGCTGATGACAGCTTGCGATCAAACCTGGAATAACTAATCAAATCCAAGCAGACGGAACTTTGTTAATTAGTGGGATGGTCACTAGCGATTGACTCTATTCACGAAATTACTTTGAGTTCTAATGAGCAGTCATGACAGTCGGGTTACACTGGCTAGAGACTGTGTTATATGTTGTAAATTGACAAAAGGTGGGATTCATGCGCTGATCATTGCATAATGTCTCGGTCTACGAATGGTCTGCGAATTCTCCGTCTAACGGGAAGGTCCTGGGTTCAAAACCCGTTGAGTGATTTTTTATGAAGAGTCCTAAGAGTACCTAAGATACATGGATGATACCTTCATCATATGTGACGACAATACTGACGTCGAATTGATAACTAATGAGTTCAACAGCTGCCATCATGCCATCAAATTCACGTCGGAATCAGAGATTAACTCGGAATTCCACTTTTTGGATGTTTTTCTAAAGAGGAGATCTGATGGCTCTCTTCAAAGATCGATCTACAGGAAACCAACATGGAATGGTCAGTACACAAATTTCCATAGCTGGGTCCTTTTAAGAAGAAAGAGAAATTTGATCCATTCCCTATCCTCAAGAATAAGGAGGATATGTTCAAGTGATACAATCGATGGGGAATTGGAGCGACTCAGACAAGTTCTCTTAGAGAATGGATATCCTCCAAGATTCATCGAGAAAAACATGAAGCTAAGAGAAAAGCCCGAAAGAATTCAGACTGTGCCGAAGAAACTGCTCTTTATGAGTGTTGAATTTAAAGGTGATACTGCAGCTGAGATCTTGAAGAATCACTTACGCCGATCACTGAGGAAAGCCTTCTTTATGGCTGAGCTACGTACCAATTTCTACAGCCGACGAATGATCAATGGATGTGTAAAGGATAAGCTGCCGCTTTGGGCCACCTCAATGTGTGTTTATAAATTCACATGCTCGTGTAGAGCAAGTTATATTGGCCGCACAAAGCGCACGCTTTCCAAACGCATCTCTGAACATTATCCGGCATGGTTAGCAAAGGGACAATACAAGACAATTACTAGCTCAATTCTTGAGCATTTGGTAAACTCAGGCCACGTAGCTCCACCAGAGTCGTCTTTCAACATCATCTACAAAGTGAAGCCAAATTGTACAAAAGGCGTCAGGTTCCGGCTTTTGTGTATGGCGGAGGCGCTGGCAATACATCAATACAACCCTGATCTCTGTATACAGAAAAAGTTTGTCCAGTCTCTTATTCTACCTTGGTCTTAACCTCTTCACTTATCCTTCCCTGTTAAAAAATATTTTTGATTTTGTTCTTAATCTTTAATTTTACTTTTAGTTTGCTTTTGCTTTAATAATTAATTCACTATTATCAATTTCATATATTTTCACACCTTCTTCACACTTGTTAAATTGACACTCTAATAACTTTATTCTCACTCAAGAGCAATTTTAAACTTTTCTAACTTCTACAATTGGTGGATGGTGGCTAGCAGTGGAATCCAGGATGCGCATTTCGTCCTATTTGGGACTCGTCAGCTGGATGTACCTGCATTTCTCAGTGAGTGATGATGTTCCCACCGAGGCTCGAACCCAGTACCCATAGTTTCAAACGCCAAAGCGTTATCCAGTAGACCACTTGGGCCACGAGAGCCACCTCTTGTGCAACGCGTCATCGACGGGAAAATCAAAAATTCAATTCAATAATTTTCTAACTTCTCTCTTTGTTCCGTCAAGTACCATGTAATTTACAAGTTTTAATTTTCACCTCAAAAGCCACTTATGATTAATTACAGCAATTATGTCAACCCCCATTATTCAATAATAGACCAATATATATTCTTCTAAGTATAAATACGACTGTACAGCCTCCGAAGATGATTTCGTCGATAAAGAAAATTTTCTTCGCTAAATCCATTTTTTATTTTCTTCATGACACAATGGGCATTTTCCGTTACTGTCAGACTATCAAAAATGTATTGTAGTTAATGGGACGAGTGACATGATTTTGAGACGATGTGGTGTTGAGAATGTTGGATTTGACATTGAAACTGTATTTCGTGATAATTTTGCAAAATGGATATTTGTGGCATGGTAGACGATTTTATTACAGGTCATCAGGTGTTTGGCCTGAACAATGGTCTCAGTCAGGGATATTCGAAACATCTTTGTAAGCCGTCATGCAACATTGTTCGCATGGCGGTTAGATACTCAATAAAGTAGTAGTAGTAGTAGTTGTTGTTGTTGTTGTTGTTTTCAGGTGACTATTGTTCTCCAGTCCACATTCTGTCTGTCAACGCTCACACACATACCCACACACAACACAACTAAACAATTTACCATTGACACGGACACATATCTATTCAGCCTCCTCTGGTCCACTTCTTCGATATTCAAGTGTGTGTCCGTGTGCATGTGTCAGTCTACCTGAGAGAGAATCACACATCAACTGACCACGTGGATTGCCCACATTCGCTCTGTAAACCCCACACAACACACCTTCATATACATATACATGAATCAGCGAGGCTATGAATTACACGTCGTGTGGAATCCCAGTGAGATTTCACATTTTGCTCGTTGGTCTCAGAGTGACATGGAGGAGACTATGTCGAAAATAAATAAATGACAGCTTGTGGACCATCATGAAGCAAGTGGAAAACAATGACAGAGGACAGAGTAAAATGGAGATGTGCTGGCTGGTGCAGCCGTAAGCTCTCCTCGGAATTCAAGAGATGAGTAGAAATAAGAATAGTCGTAGACTGACCTAGAGAGTCTAGTCTTCAAAAAGAATTCGGAAGCCAATTGAAAGGAGGGAAACGTCTACGTGGAAATAAAACCTGTCTGTAAAGACGAATGAGGTAGACGATGAGGGAGGGTAGGAAAGCGAAATCCTTATTCCACTCGGAACTAAAGCTCTAGGCTACAATTAAATCCAAAGTTTACGACTTCCCACCACCATCTGCTTTCTCAGAGTTGTTTGGTTTGACTCTGGAGCATTTATCATTACTTTTCCAGACACCATTTTCACTGCTTACTTCAAGGTGAAGACAAGTCGAAGAATAGTGTCCTCACCTTCATTTCACAAACTTCCACCAGATAACCACCTCCAGAATTCAATCCACAAGATGATACATCAAGAGTTATTTCAGTTCGAGAACTACTGAACTTCACTATTCCCAGTGATCATTTCGCTTCGTTGATCCAGCCTTGAAATCAATCAAATCACTGAATTCCTATAAGACTGTTTCCCTTTTTTAATTTCATGATGTCATTACTAGTCTTTTCTCGCCATAACATAATGAAAACGTTTCATTTCACTTTGGTAAGTGTTAACTTCTGTTAACTTCTTAAAATACCTGTCAATTACGTCAGAATAATCATAATTCTCTCGGTGTCGCATTCACAGACTATATGTCTGACACTTTCACACATTCTCAGTCAACCACTCAATGATTACCGCAAGGCGAGTCACCGCCTTCATCGTGAACCAGTGTTAGCTGACAAGAAATAGATTGGAGAAGTGGTAGATGTCATCACATCGAACATGAAATCAATCCGTGAGGTATCCGTTGAGGTATGCACTGGTTAGTTGGAGACTTCGTGATTCTAGGAGCTTACCACTTGAGGCGATTGATGATGTGCATCAAAATTGTTTACAATGGCGCACATGTCTTCCCTTCTTGTGACTCCCACTATTCAGTGAATTCAAATGATTCTCAATATCACACCCAAAGTGTTCTCACATTTCCATATCTCTGGTTATTGCATATAATCATATATATCTAATAAATTAGATAGTTTAGAATATCCATTGATTATAGATATGTGTCCGTGTAAATGGTAAATTGTTTAGTTGTGTTGTATGTGGGTATGTGTGTGAGCGTTGACACACTGAATGTGGACTGGAGAACAATAGTCACTCGAAAACAACAACAGCATCAACAACAACAACAGCTACTTTATTGAGTATCAAACTGCCATGCGAAAAATTTTGCATCACCTGTAATAAAATCGTCCACCATGCCACAAATATCCATTTTGCAAAATTATCACGAAATACAGTTTCAATGTCAAATCCAACATTCTCAACACCACATCGTCTCAAAATCATGTCACTCGTCCCATTAACTACAATACATTTTTGATAGTCTGACAATAGTCTGGAAATGTGCAGATCACACTCATACTACTTATATGGATGAAATGAGCGACACTGCATTCATCGCTTCACAGTCATCATTCCTTCACCAAGAACAATCGGCGATTAGTCTCAGTGAATACACAGCTCACAAACCACACACACACACACACAAACACGCACGATCTCACAGACACAGATGTTTTCACCCAGGTATGCAGTTTCACCCACATATATAGAGACACACAGAGACACACGGACATTCAGACAGACAGGCAGGCAGACAGGCAGACATTGGTTACACCGT